ACGTCCGTGTGACCTTAGATCGGGTCAAGATCGTCGCTTCGATTCGGTCACCTGTGACCCCGAAAATCGGGCTCACACTAGATTCAGCTTAGGTAGAGTTGACTGTACATACTTAAAAATAATTGATTGGCAGTGTACACAGGAATCTTTTTTTAGTTTATTGACTGAAATTGGATCTTATGCATTAAGTAGTAATTTCAGTTATATTTAGAACGTTAGTCGAATGAAAATAGGAACTCTGGACATGTGACAACTTCAATACACTGTATTACTACGTAGTATTACGTACGTACGTACGTACTATAAACACCATAATAATGACTCCAAGGAATTAAATGAAATAGTTATTTTGGTACGTACGTATTTAAAAATTAGCGTTAAAATTGGTTATATGAATTTTAAATTTAAGTATTTATTATTATACCAATTGTTACAATTTTTATACATCAAAATGCTGAAATCATACGATAGTGGATTAAAGCTAAATAGACATATATCGATATGTATAGAAAGTTAAATGGAGATATATATAGTATTTGAGTTAAAACATATGGAAAGACTCAGTATATAACTATATATATAAGTTTAATATAGTGATTCTCCTTTAGGGGTTATCGGTTTTGATTTAAAACCGGGTTTATTCTGTTTTTAGCAAACTCAAGTAGGGGTAAAAGCATAACGAACTTTCACTCTTATTGGCTGATTTTTGTAGATCAACCCGTGACATTGAAAAATATTATTGGTTAATCGAAGTCGTTTTACAAAAAAGATTTATTATACGAAAATATTTTATTGTTATTAATAAAAGCTTTATTACCAGATCTCACTAACTCAAAACATCCACCCAACACAATATTTCATAAACCAAGCCTTATTAGACACACATTAATATCACCGTAAATGGTTATATAAAAGATCCCTCATGAATTAGACCGGGCGTAAATTACGGAATCTACATTAATCAACCCTGTTTTTTTTCAAATATCTAGACCAGCTCTCATAAATGCAAAATGTGCACGCTCTTCAAATTTTTTTCTTGATGATATAAACTCTCAGCCATATACTAGATCCGGGGTTTATTATATGTTTTAAAATTAAGAGATCCGGGGATCGTTACTTTAATATGACTTCATTAGATGCTCTGTAATCCAGTAATTACATTTAACTATTAATCACAAAGTTTACAAAATTTTTCTTTAATTTTTTAATAGTAAAAAGTTTATAAATAAACATAATGCAGACTTTTAGTTCTTTTAGCAATATCATGTAATGTAAGGCAAAATGGTATTAAAAAAATTAAGTGGTATATTACAGTTGAATGGTATAAATTTCATAGTAAAAATCAATAAAGAAATCCGGCATTTAATTTTATTTCAGAAATTTCTTGTGTTTAAAAAATTACCCAGATAGTAAACATAAGACTTAATTTTTTTAAAAAAACCTTGCCTGGTCGGATTGAGGACCAAAAAATTAACTTGGTCCTACTACATTATTTCATAATATTTCAAGTATGTCACTTGCCTAAAATAATATTATAGAAAAGCATCGTTTTTTTTATCTTCCAAGTCCATAATAATTTACAGAAATATATAATAGGTAAGAATCATTATACTGTATAATGTAAACTATTACTTTGTTGCAAAATGTGTAGAAACCTTTAGAGTCTTCTGATTTGAGACCTATACCATGTTCGCTGTTCTGATCTATCAGAGAATTTCGATTTTTTCAGTCAAAGAGTTTCGTTTTTCTATTAAAAATTTCCGTTCTTCAGTTCTGTGACTTGCCCAATATCAACTACTATAGGTCTCCAAGAATAACTATTCCATAATCTGTAGATTTATTATATTATTCATTAATTTGCGATTATTTATATTGCTATAATAACTTTTTGATCAATGGCACCATTCATTGCATACAAAAATGTCAATTTAAATGGTTAATATGTTTAGGATATCTTCAAGACGAGGTAAAAAGCGGTGCCATTTACTTCGCTGACAATCATTTCACCGAAAGCTCATTTGACCGATATCACATAGGGGTTAGGATTAGCATTTTATTATATATTTTTAGTAGATTGTCGCTTGGTGTGATATCGGTTAAATGAGCTGTCGGTGAAATAATACGGACCCGGTAAAAAGGAGTCTTGACGCGCTTATAACCAGTTTAATGTGAAAAAAGAAGATGATAGTAACAACTCAAACATAGATTAAATAACAAATGATGCAAATAAATTTTTTTTTAAATATTTATTAATTCGATTACATAATTTATTAATTAACATTTATATGCAATTAATTCATAATTCCATTATAAGTTTTTCGGATTCACACTAATTTGATTAGCTGTTCAAATATCACTCAAAAAAAAGTACCTATTCACAATGTCAAATTTTCAGTTGTCATCATGTTACGGTCAATTCTGTTTAGTGAACATAATATAAAACATAGTAAATTACTCAATAAGAAACTTTTAAACTTTCTTATAAGAATAACCAGTTGATTTTTTATAAAGTTAACTGTATACATATTAAAATTTTTTATAATTAATACAGGAGATAACTATCTAGTTATTAGAATATATTAGATATAATTAATACAAAAGATAACTATCTAGTTATTAGAATATATCATATATAAAGGACAAAAACGATTAGCATTCTAATATGGATATAGAAGATATTATAAAATTATAACAATTTGTCCAAAGACGTTAAAGCTTTAGCAATAATGATTGAAGAAATTTTGATTTCAACTATTGCTAAGTACTTAATAAAAAATTAAGTTCATAACGATGTTAATATACAATTTTTTTTTTTTTTATAAAAAAAAGCAAATACTTTGTTATTGATTCTGTGCTTTAATTATAAGCCACTTTTTTTTTTAATGAGCGCCAGTTAACATGTGACGATGCGATTTTCAATTGGTAGATCGACATCGGAAATTAACGGTTCCTCTTGGACGATAGGTCTAGCTTGTTTAAATGCTAAACCGGTACCAATTAACCATTCAACAATTAATGCTTCTTCAGATTCATCTATTTCTTCTATAATAATTATTGGTTTCGATTCCTTGGTTTCTGATGAAACTTGTTCAAGAGAAATTTCTGCGTAAATTAGTTCTTCAATAAAGTTGTCTGATTTTTCGACTAAATTCTTTTGTTGTTCAGGTTGGGCCTTATTTGATTGTAAATTATTATTATCTGAAGGAGTAGGTGTTTTCGGTCGTTTAGGTTGATCATTTGATTTTTTAACTAAACTATTTCGTTGTTTAGGTTGAGTTTTATTTGGATGTAAGTTATTACTATTATCTGAAGGAGTGGGTGTCTTTGGTCGTTTAGGTTGATCATTGGATTTTTTAACCAAATTCTTTTGTTCAGGTTGTGACTTATTTGACTGTAAGTTGTTATTATTATCTGAAAGAGTGGGTGTTTTCGGTCGTTTAGGTTGATCATCTGATTTTTTAACCAAATTCATTTGTTCAGGTTGTGACTTATTTGACTGTAAGTTATTATTATTATCTGAAGGAGTGGTTGTTTTCGGTCGTTTAGGTTGATCATCTGATTTTTTAATCAAATTCTTTTGTTCAGGTTGTGCCTTATTTGACTGTAAATTATTATTATTATCTGAAGGAGTGGGTGTTTTCGATCGTTTAGGTTGATCATTTGATTTTTTAACTAAATTCTTTTCTTGTTCAAGTTGTGCCTTATTTGACTGTAAATTATAATTATTATCTGAAGAAATGGGAGTTGTTGGCTGTTTAGGTGACGGTTTAACCACATCTTTTTGTTGTTCCAATTGTATTTGAGATTTCTCTGGTTGCTGATTATGATTTGAAATCGTAGTGGTGATTGTTGCCGTTTTAATCCCATTCTTTTGCTGATCAAATTGCATTGGTGGTTTCTTATAATTATTGACAGTATTATTATTCATAATATTACTGATACTATTAATATTATTAGGTTTGGTCGGAGAAAGTGGAGGAGAACGTTGTCGAACGTTATTAAGTTGATTAGAAAGTTCATCATCATCATCATAATAATTTTCAAGTTTAGCATTCTCATTAATGGTCGGACTACTCAATGTACCAGTCATTGAAAACATAGATTTATTTGGCGATTGTGTAAGAGCAGAACCTAAACTATTACGTGAAGTATGACGAGCGTGTCTTCCTTGAATTTGTACTTGATCATAAATACTTTGCTCCTGAGTTTCTTTAGCTGGCATTTGTGGAATCTGGATCTTGACATATTTTGGTTGAGGTTTACTATTAACTAAGGTACTTGTAGTTGAAATGTAACTATTAGGAGTATTTGGAGTTTTTGCCGGTCTTTGATTAAAATTATCTATATCTTCATTTGATGGTTGTTTCATCAATTTAGAGAAAAATCTCTTGAATTTCTTTTCCGATTTTTTACCACTTTCAGGTGATGGATTGTTTGTAGAAGGTAACACATCAGGTGGTACTTCTGAATTAAAGAAATCTATTAGATCTTGAGTTTGACGTCGTCTTGGACGTTTTTGACCGTCAGTAAAAAATAGATCCTCATCATCATTTAAATATAATGGTTCAGGTCTCGGTTTTAGTTTTATGGGAGTAGGTTTTTTACCATTTTGAAGATGACTTGTGCTCTTACTTGCGGCATCATTATTATAATAAGTTTGATTCATAGATTTGTTATTTTTCGAATATTCTGGTTGAGAAGTAGTAGAAGTTATGCTACTAATATCAGTTCCAGGAGGTATTAGAGGAATATATTTAGGTTTATTAGAAGATGGTTTAGTCGGAAGTTCAGGTACAGAATTCAATCTGCTAATATCCTTTCCACGTCTTTGAATGAGGTCCACTTTTGAATCTTTTTTTCTAATTTTTGAATCACCGAAAATATCATCTGGATCAGTATTTTTTAAAAATTCATAAAGACTTTCTTGTTTTTTGGGTTTTTTCCTTTTATTTGGAAAATCATCATCATCATCATCATCAATACCATCAGCATTTGATGATTTTGAAATTATTCGACCGTGTACTACCGGCTCACGCGGTTCGAATTTCGGTTGCCTTTTATGTGTCTTTTAAAAAATAGAAATTACATTTAATTGTTAAATTAATATTTAATTAATTAACCTTTTTTTTTGTTTTTAATAATGCATACATACCTCAATTGTTTTAATTCTATTTGGAGTTAAAGATATTTTGACCGTTTGATTATTTTCGATTAAATTTTCAAAGTTTCTCGCCTTTTCTGCATAATCACCCTAATTAATTTATCAATTAAACAAATCAATAAAAAGTCAACTTATATAACGTAATAAAAAGTTATAATAAAAGTTATTACAATAAGTTATAAAAGTTAACAAGTATAACATAATTACCGTTCTAGATTGACATCTCATATCATCTTTTTCACTGGAATATTGTAAGCTTTGCATACTTCTTGTTGACCTCATATTATATTCCAAACTATCACCGTCTGGAGACCTTGGAGAAGAATTTTTGCTGTTCTGTGCAACTCCATCAGACAATGGTCTTCCATTATTAGGAGTAGTTGGTGACCGAAGCAAAGTCTCATCATCATCTTAATTAGATAATTAAATAATTGAATAATTAGATAATTGAAAACTATAATAAAAATTTATTTTATTTTACAATAAAATTATAATTAATACATTACACATATAGTTTGCGAAACGAGGAGATTTAATAGATTCAGAATTGGCATATTTAGGAGATATGGGAGACGCCGGAGATTTAATTTGTAATTTTTCCTAAAAGTAATTATGTTATTAATAAATAAATTACACAAAAATTTTCAGGAAAAAAATTTCAACAAACCTCCAGGTCAACTTTAAGACTAGTCTGTCGAAATACAGCTCTTATTTGATTGTCTTCTACCAAAGCAGTGTAAACTTCTTTCATTTTAGCTACACTTGTACCATGTTTTTCTGTAGCTTTAGCCACCAATATTAATACATGTTCACCAACATATTCCAAAACCGCGGTTAAATAAATAGCTAGACTAGGAGCGATATGAATTCCTTCATTAGCATATAAATTAGGGGCCATTTTAGAATCACGTTCATCAATACCACGTTCCCCTAGAGTACTAAAGAATTGACAATTAGCACGAAATTGTTCGAATACTTTTTGTAGAGGAAAAGGAGTTATTTCTATAGTTTTTTCTTGGGTACTATCGGAGTTTCCGCTTTCCACATAAGTTTTAAGTTCAAGCTCAGCTTCTTGTATAGCATTTTTTCCCAATGTTGTGGGTAATACTTGAGAAATTGATTGTTTTATTTTAACCAAGTCCAAAGACCTAGCCGAGTCTATGACGAAATACAAGAATTCATCGAGAAAAGTATTTATTGAAATTAATGCTTCAGCGGAAATTCGATAAGGAGCAACATCGGCTACTATGGCGTTTGCTGCCCGCTGAGAAACGTAAAGAGTATCTAACATAAAAGATAATATAATAAAATATTAATAACAAGGGTAAGTTAAAAAAACATCAAACTTTTTTGTTTTATTATTATGTTTTATTTGATCGTCAAAAAAAGTTAGGTTTGAATTTGAGTTTAGCTAGTCGGTATATATTACAATGCATATATGTGCAGAACGACAAAAAAGAAATATTGTAATCAAATTCGGACAGTGGTATGATTAAAATGCATGCGGACTGTATTGGATAGAATCGTTTCCAATGAAAACTTTATGGGAATAACTAACAGCATGAATTGAAAATAGCATTGTATGACTGAGTTGTTCACACATACGTTTTTTAAGGTCAACTTCCATCCTCATTGATTATGATTCACAAAAACTTTATAAAAATAAATTTTTTGTTTTTAGTTTTTTTCTCGAATTAATAGGAATTATTTTAAAGAATGAAAAATAGCGAGAAATATAAGAATTGTTAATGAAAAAGTAACAATTAAAAATGATTTATTATACTAAGATAGTAATCTTAACGATAAAAGCATTGAGGCAAATGCGGCACAAAATGTAAACTGTACCATATTTAGGCAGTCACAAATTTATATGGTTACCATATAAATCGTATAATCAGTTGTACGTATTTCCAAAACCTATCAAGTTTAACATTAAAGAGACCAAACAAATTGCAAATTAGAGTTACACTGATAGATTACCATTAAATCTTTAATTCGAGATGCCTCTACCTTGATTAACGCTGATTTATATATATATGTGTGTACTATAATATGCATTAATACTATCCACAATTGTGCAAAATGAGCTTAATGACTCGCTAATCTACTAAAATCTACTAAAAACGGTAAATAACAAACATTCTTAATTTCAAGGAAGTTAGAGTTGAGATTATTTGATATATAACTTGCCTATATAAAAATAATATGATTTAATTGATTTAATTTAAGTAAATTATCATATTTACATTGTAATTTCGTTCATATCTTTCTTGTCACCAACCATTTCTGAAATTTCTGGAACTCGGAAATTTCGGAAACATCGGCATCTAAATTTTTCAATTTGTACACTGCACGCGATTATAATTTTTGAAATTTTCATGATTCCAGTTAAGTGAAACGTAATAAATTTCAATTATTTTGTACACAAAAGGATCAATAGAATATAAACTTTATACATTCAAAATAATAACATAAATAACTACTTTTTTTGAATCTTCTCTGTAACATCATATGCCTTATATTGTTTGTTAACTGCAGGAACCAGTCTTGTATGTTGTCGTTATCGATTTCTAAAACTATTTAATGTCAACTGATATCAGTATATAAATAATTCAGTTGTCTACTTGATCACATTCTGATTATGTGATCTTATTAATTTGTCGTATTATGGTAATTATCATCATATGTTTTTTTATTAATTTTATGAATTTTTTATTGTTTAATAAATACTAAATAATAAATACTAAATAATCATTATCTTTTTGAAAAATAAAAAGCGATAAAACTTTTAGCCATTTTTTGTTATATGTTGTTGTAAATAAATTTTAAAATTACATGCACATAATCAACACAGTACGCGTAGTATAAAACCATTTATTTCGGATATGATCGTGCAATTTATGACTGTGAACCGCAAGTTTATTAGTTAATTAGAAAATTTTATTTGCAATCTGAGAAATCTGCCTCACTTGAGATCTCGATCATATGCCATATGTCATACTTTGACATAGCTCCAGATTTCAATTTATACAGATTTTATGAAGTTTCTAATAATATATCAGCATGCATAGATGTCACACTGCAATAAATGTTATTTGAAACGAAATATATATTTACACATTGTATTTGTGCGGTATTATAAAATTCTAAAATGGAAATTAAACATAAGACCAAGCGTGAAAACAAAAGTGATTCATAATGTGTAAACATCCTAGTGCGAGAATCTTTGATCAAGAAATTGAAAGAATTGGTCTGATTATTAGAGTGAGTCTTCAAAATATAATTATTTTTAAAGAATGAAACGCAGACAGGTTGTTTTATTCAGGTAAATTCTTTGTTACTTGTATATATAATACGTAAGCGAGATAACTTATGCAATGGAAATATTTTTGATTTATTGACCATCCTCAATGATCAATATTTAGAATTTTAGATGTCTGGAGTTTCGAATAGTTTCAAGATGTACTTAGGTAAGACTTTCAGACACGTTCCCGATTTGGGGTAATTGTCCGGAGGATATTAAATGTGATACTAAAGTTACTCGCGATGACCGATAATGTCGTTATTAGGTATCATGTCTGTAACACGCGTGTCTATATTTGTTCATTATTGTAACAGACACATCCGTTTTTTCATTATGCAATTATTATATAATAAGTTACGGACACACAATGCTATGCATTAACATATTGTAACACAATCTGAAATACAAAAAAAAAAAAAAAAAAAAAAGGTATTTTTTTTGTTGAGGAAAGCTTTAATCTTAATAAAAATTTATATAGGAAATTGTTTGTGATGCTTACCAACTTTTTTTCAAGTAATTTAACTATATACATCTTTAACCCAAGTACTAACCATGTAAACATTAAGAAATTTTGTTAATTCATATGACCCGACAAATCCCCGGATTCGTCAGAATTTCGAGGATCGTATCTTAAAAATGTCAATCGTGGGATCCTCATGATCATTGGAATTTCAAGGGTCGTGCTACCGCTACCTCAGTAATAGAAACACCTCGGACCAAAAATTTCCCTTTTAACCTGGCGCTAGACGATCCCTCTTTTAGGATTTTGTATAACCTACCTCAAATAGATCAGTTGCGAGACAAAATTCACAGTATATCCAATAAGATTTCGATAAAACAAATTGCTCTGTTAGATATGACATATCGGGTTAGGATTAGGGATCGATGAAATTATAATAAATTAGCATGCAGAAGCAAAGTTCCATAGCTAAAATTGTCAAGTTACTACCTCGAAATTTGATTGGTGTATCCATACAATTTTCTATATCCCTTTCTCGGGGAAATGAGCGATATTTTATAATTAATTGATACTGATCTGGATATTCCGGATGTTCCTTAAGATGATCCTTAAATTAACCAATTGATTAACATCACCCCTTGTTCCGGATTTACTGCAAACAAGTCAATCGCAACACAGAATAAATTATATAATTAAAATTGATAACGACAACAATAAATGGTATAAGTTATTCTAAAGTATACTTGAAGCATGTGTTTCAAAATATTATAACTGACCAACTATTTAACAAAAGTTTTGCTAATAGCAATATGAATGTAAACTTTTCATAATAGTTGAAATAATTATTACCTGATATATGGAAGAAATGTTCGAACCATAGCGCTATAATTAGTCATACTTGTAAAGCAATTATTTGATCAGCAATGAAAAATATTTCGCTTCGAATTTAACGAATATGCGCACGTGACATATGTTTCCAGTTAGTTACGCTATCATAATTCATCATTATAACATGAATAAGCACGTCCGTAATCTGTGACAGGTTAAGCCACTGACTTTAACCACAGTTCGATTATGCCTTGAATCATGATGAAAAAGCTATTTATATATTAAATTTTTTTTTTTATTAAGTAAAATGTGCAAATTAAAGTTTAAATAACCCTATCGACATCTAATAAGACTTAAAAAAGAACCAATTTTTTTAATAAAGTTTATAAAAAAAAAAATTTTAATATAAAAGGTCCTTCAAATGCCTCGAGGTTATATATATTTTTAAAAAAAAAACATATAAAACAGAATTAAGAAAATGAAGAACATTTTCGGCATCACTTCAGTTTTAGTTTTTAACTCAATATGAAGATAAATTCGAAGATCAGTATACAGGTATAATATAACAAAAATAAAAATCTTCCGAATATTTTTCTTTATGATTTTAGTCGCGACTGTTCAAACAAAAGTGCTGTGAAAATGAGTTCACGAATGATATGGACGAAAGGAGAATTCACCTCTTTTAGTTGAAAAGTTAAGAATTAAGTAAAAAAAAGTATCATTTAAGTAAGAATGTGTTGAACAATTAGCACGATTAAAGAAACGAAATATTGTTTGCTTTGCTTTGCTTAAAGTTATTATAATATACTAGAGGAATATTTATGTTATTCGTTAATTTAATTTTAAAATTAAAAGTTTTTTTTTATATAAATGTTGTTTAGTTAATATCAAAAGACAACTTTTGGTTTTAAATTCTAACTTCAGGTATTTTTTGACAGTCAAGTCTTACACTGGGAATATAGTTGGCGGTGATTGAAATTAGTGGCTTAACCTGTCACAGATTACGGACGTGCTGAATAATTTCTTGAATGTGTGCCAGGTCTGTGACACAGATTTTCTGAACTACGAATCAGATTTCAAGATCGGGAGTAACGTAACACGATCAATAAAATTCAAAACCAAACGTTCATTTTGTCAAAAATCGCTTACTTCTCAAAAATCAACATAAGAAATCACTAATAAAAAGTTTTCATTGGGCATTTTTACCATGTAAGCCATCCCCTCTTATCCAAACCCTAATATAAACGAACTTTAAAGAATTTTTGCTGCACAACAAACCTAGCACACATTCAAGAATTGCTATACAGTAGAGTCCCAGGCGTTTATACAATTAGACTTTTAATAATCGAGGATTATTAACGCGAGACATTTTATCAGGATTTTCAAGAGTTGAGAGGTGAACTCTGATCGAGTTGTCTTCAAATCTATTTTTGTACTTTCAAATAGATATGACCTTTTCTAAAACGTCATTTCCACTCTCTCTTCTATATCAACCTTATATGTCATGGTAAATCTGGTATATAAGGATTCTTGAGTAGATTTGTTAGATTCGATCGATGTGGCAAATATGATGGATTTGTTATAATTGACCCGAGCCATTTTAGCAACAAATTCCAATTTACTAAAACTTCCTTTATCCATATTCTAAAAGATGATTGGCAAATATTGTTACGTACAATGAATTGATATGTACAATATGTTACATAAAGTTCCAAATATATATTGCACTACGCAAAGTTTTAAACATTAATTATTAGTTAAAAATCAGGTGAACTATACATCATGCTATATAGCATTGACGCATTTCCAAATATAGAAATTCAATGGCACAGCGGTGTAGATTATTTTATATAACCTGATAACCTGATAAGTAGCGTTTTTGTAAACAAATTTTTTACTTGTTTAAAATTTAAAATGTCAAATAATCTACCTGTAAATTTAAATATAAAACAATCAGAAAATAATGTTAATTTATCAAACAATTCCAATCAATTATATTTAAAGGACAATAACTCATCAGAATTTTTTAATGAAATTATTAAAGAATTATATAATTTATATAATGTAGAAAGATCAAAAGGTGAAGATTCGGAATCAATTATTAATTCATTGGACCATTTCCTAACAAAAAAAATGCAAAATCCAAATAATATTATCAATTGGTGCTTGGATAATCAAATAAATCCTATAGCTCAAATCATTCTTGCAAGTTGTTATCGTTTTGGTAAATGGATTGAAAAGGATGAAAATAAAGCTTTCAGTTATTATCAAAAATCCGCTGATATGGACCTTTCTGAAGGAATATTCTGTGTTGGTGTATGTTACGAACTTGGAATTGGTGTTGAGAAAGATGAATATAAGACGTTCACTTATTTTCAAAAAGCTGCCAACATGGGTAATTCTAGTGGAATGTATAACGTTGGTTATTGTTATCGTCATGGAATTGGTGTTGAAAAGGATAAATGTAAAGCATTCATTTATTATGATAAATCTTCTGAGATGGGTTTTGCTAGAGGAACATATATGGTTGGTTACTGTTATGAAAATGAAGTTGGTGTTGAAAAAGACATGCGTAAGGCTTTCATTTATTATCAAAAATCTGCTGAAATGGGTCATGCTAAAGGAACATATGCTGTTGGTTATTGTTACTATCATGGAATTGGTGTCGAAAAGAATGAATGTAAGGGATTCATTCATTATGAAAAATCTGATGATATGGGTCATAATAAAGGAACTTATATGGTTGGTTATTGTTATCATTATGGAATTGGTGTTGAGAAGGATAAAAGTAAGGCATTCGATTATTATAAAAAATCTGCTGATATGGGTAATTCTAAAGGTGTATTTCAAGTTGGTTATTGTTATGAAAACGGCGTTGGGGTTGAAAAGAATAAACATATGGCATTCGAGTATTATCAAAAATCTGCAGAGATGGGTTATGCTAAAGGAATATATATGATTGGTTATTGTTATCGCCACGAAATTGGTGTTGAAAAGGACGAATTTAAAAGTTTTTTCCATTATCAAAAATCTGCTGATATGGGTCATGAAAAAGGAACATATATGGTTGGGTATTGTTACCATCATGGAATTGGAATTGAAAAGGATAGAAATAAGGCATTCACTTATTATCAAAAATCTGCCGAAATGGGTAATTCTAAAGGAATATTTCAAGTTGGTTATTGTTACGAAAATGAAGTTGGTGTTACAAAAGACCTACATAAAGCATTTATTAATTATCAAAAATCTGCAGAGATGGGTAATGCTAAAGGAATGTATAAAATTGGTTTTTGTTATCTTCATGGAATTAGTGTTGAAAAGGATGAACATAAAGCTTTTATTTATCATCAAAAATCTGCTGAAATAAAATGTAAATTAACAAATTAATTTTGATTATATTTAATTGAGTTTTGTCGCAATTTAATTTATTAAAATTCTACAAACTTTATTGTTAAAATTAATGTTTAATAATTGAGTAAAGAATTTAATAATTTCATAAACCAAATTGTTCTTATTTATAATTGTATTTTTATCTTATTTAAGTAGTAAGTCGAAGTTGAATATTACTTTCATATAATATTTAATTCAGAAGTCTCTGGCAATAAGTAAAAATCATTTACTACATTAATTTTTATAATTCTAACGTTCTCTGTAATGTTAGAAATTCAAGGTATAAATTTTTTTTCATTGCAAGCTAGCAACATTTTAATCATAGAAAACTATATTAGCTTCAGACAATTTCTACTACTAAGTAATTGTTATACAATTTAGCCGTAACTTAACTTTTAAAAATTTTGAGATTTTGATAATTACATGAATTTTCTCCGCAGTCTCAGTTCAGGTAGCAACCCCATAGAAAGATTTTCGTATGATTGGCTGTTTGAATCAATTTAATTTTACATTATTTATACAGTTTAAAGTACTTTTTAAAAAAATATAACTACGAAGAATAAACAAAAAAGAAGTACAGTCAGACCTCTCCTCTATAGTCACATTTGATTATAATCACAAAATTTTTAAAACCAACTTATATAACGCTTATAAAATTTAACCTTCATATAGGCACAAACTCTCTATAAGCACCAAATTCTTAAAACCAAGGGTGTGATTATAGAGGGGTTTGATTGTATATAGAAAATTTATTAGGGTTGTAGGACTCTACTATTAATAATAATTAAAATCCCTTTTTGTTTTAAAGTTAACATGGTAATAGTCTAATTCTATCTATTTTTAAGAAGTTACTATTATGCTAACTTCTCTAAAACAGAAATAATTTTGATTATTTTTAATAGTTGAGTCTTACAACCCTAATAAAACTTTTTATACGTTTCTTTTTTTTTTTATTCTTCCTAGTTTTATTTTTTTAAAGTATTTTAAACTGAATAAATAATTTAAAATTAAATTGATTTAAACAGTCAATTATACGAACGTCTTCCCATAGTAGCTGCTTGCTTTCATATATTAACCAATAGATTACGTATATATATTAACTAATAGATTACGTATATCACTACAACCTAATTTTATATTCTAAATCAACATGTTCAGAATTAAATATATATATATTTAAACTTAAATAAGTTTAAAACTAGTAATTTAAGAAACTTAAGTTATTTTGATTTTGAAAGTTAATTGAATCAAACTAGACCAGATCTAATTTAAAATTTTTTCACCTCTCTGAAGCTTCTTAGACACTTTTAGGATCTGTCACAGCTCTTAAAGATCAGAGTTTTCATTCTGTAAAGATCATCAGATGGCATGTGGCCTTGCATGTCATCAAATTTATAAAATAACTCATGCTTTATCAAGTTTACTATATAAAATTTCAGGTTCTTGGCTTTGCAGTGTAAGACCTATTATCTTTTTCAATTTATAGTTCTTTAACTTCACATGATCCACTAGTCAGATTATTTATATATTTTAAAATTCTTAATTCTATTATTACATATTCTTAAATCAGACTTTTTTAATGTTAACATTATTTGTTAATATAGGTTGTTTCTAACACTGTAATTATGCTAGTTATTGTATTCTTTTTATATAAATCTTATTCTTGTTTTTTTAATTAAAAATCTTTTGCAGATCTTTTTTTAATTGTAGTTCTAATAAAGTTTTTATCATCTTTCAAACTTGAATTTACAATCTTGTAATTAAGACTTGAAAGTATTAAGTATTATGCTATCAATCTACAGGTTTATTTAAAAGTTTTATTTTTTATTATATTTTACTATTTTTTAGTATTACAATATTAAATAATAAAAAATATATAATTTTATTATTATTATTTAGTAATTTATCAGAAAATCAATAAAACTATAATAAACTATAAAGAATATGTGTTTTATTTTTTAAAATCTAATATTTTTTAAAAATACATAATATTTTTTATTAAGTGTACTTTAATAAAAGCTTTAAAAGAATAATTTTTAACTATAATAGTAGTTAAATTATTAAAATCATTTGGTACATTACAAAATATGAATTTTTATGTCTTTATAATTATATTTTTATTTTAGTTTATACAAATAAGTAAAAACAATCATATATTAATAAGGTCTAAATTTTAAAAAAAAAACAAAAAATAATAATAAATTTTTTTATAATTTACTGGATTTTTTTACTAATTTTTTTAATAAATTATAAATTAAATCATTTTAACAAATAATTATTTTAATTTTTTTTTATAAATTTATTATTAATAAACTAAATTACAAATTTGAAAAAAATTTAATATTTTATTTTTTAAAAACTATAAAAAATCAATTTAATAATTTTAATAATAAAATAAAATTTTAAATCAAAAATTAAGAATATTTTTAATAATTATTTAGATTAATTTTTTAAAAAACTAAACTATAAAAAATAATATAGTTATTTTTATTATAATAATATCTAAGTAAAAACTTTATTATATATAGAAGAGTTTAGATCTTATAGTTTAGTAAATAAGCTTTTAAAATTTTTATAAACAAAGTTAATAATTTAAGTTAGGCTAAAGACAATTTTGTTTCTGTAATTTATTGAAATTATTAATTAAATGCAAAGCTTTATAAAAAAGTTTAAATACAAATATAAATTTGAAATAAAATAAATTTCTAGAAGAAGATCTAATTATAAAGTACAGATATTATATTAATAGCAGTATTACAAAAGATTATTATTATAAAAAGATTATATATATAAGTTCTTAAAATTACAATAATACTAATATTCTTACATCTTCTAATATAGGTAGTACCAATATTTTTATATTCAATCTGTAAAATACTTGCTTAGAAGAATAATTAATAAATTATATAAATAAGTTTTAATTAGAATCTAAGAAGGTTTAATTAGAAGAATAACTTAGAAATAATCAAGATTAATTTGATTATAAAAAAAAATCTTGAAGGTTAATATATACATTTTGTATAAAAAAAAATATCAAATTGAGTTTTGGTCATATCTATATAAAAGTTAATAATAAATAAGACTGTGATTAACTAATTAATATAAAATAAAATTGCAAAGTAGTATACTATTATTGTGATTAGTCTAATTTTTTTTTTAATTTTTAAAAGAGAGGTCTATCCTCTATCTCTTTATTAATTAATTAATTTACATATATAAAATATATGCAGAAGAAACTAAGCTAGAGGAGA